ACAATTCTTTTAGAAACTGTGCAATATTTTAATACATCAAACCAAACAATGGATAAGAAATATGTCAGCATAACTAATACCAACATAATTAATGCAAGCATAACTAATACCAGCATTACTAATACACTCTATTCAGCATTATTCTTATGCTCCTACCAAACGACCCCTTAGTTCACATCCATTTAAATACATGCATGTAGGAAAAGAAAATTTAACGTAACTTAACGTTCTATTTGGAAGCGTTTCATATGTTATATTGGCTGTTACAACTTACAAGTGTATTCATATCCAAATGAGAGGAGATGAATAAAAGTATATAGTCCAGTACAGATAATGATTAAAGAATTTGGTGTTCAATTTTCAAAGACAATGAAGAATTTTCCTCAACAATATGAGCCGGTAGAAAAGCTTTGTACATAAGTTTACATCTCTTGCATTGCAAGAGGAAAAAATATATAAAAATCAAAGAGAAATTCTAATCTAGTCTTTATAATGGTGCATATCACATATCTTCATCATATATATCATAAAGTAGTGTTCAATTGAGAAGTGAGATGAAAAAATGCATCCTCATTGCAAGGTAAAGTGAGACCGCCCATAGGATGTTGAAACCCAAACTCTTCCTCTGATTTCCTAAGCAATTCTTGAAACGAAGCGTGATTTAAGTATGCAATGGGAACGACGTACCGCTTCTTCTCTGTCTCTCCCACGTAAACTGCAAAATGTCCTTTTGGAACATCTGAAATATGATTTCTAGCAAGAACAGAGTGTAGCCTGTGGAATTGCTTGACACTGGAAAACTTAGATGGCAAACGAATAATTCCCATGACTTGTTGATAATACTAAGTATTTTTGTTGTTTGATGTGATTCGGATTGAAGTGGAGCTTTGTTGAGATTGAAAAGTTTGCACTAGAATGGTTTATATTTATATTGGTCTTAGTGAGGGAGGCCCTACATCACATATGGCTCTGCTGATTAGCCTCAATATAAAATAAAAACACGCATACTCAATTCCCTCTCAAGTAGTTAAGGAGCCCACTAGCTCGTTCCTATACAGTACTAGTTACTTTCTGGACTGCTTCGATTTGATTCAAAGTTATTTTGATTCCTCAGAAATAATGGATAATTTTATAATAGATAAAACTCGGACGAAGAACTTTTTTTTTTGTCAAAAGTACTTTTTTGATCCACTTAAGGTGTTTGGCTAAGTTTTTAGAAGGAAACAAATGCTTTTAAATAGAAGCAAAAACGGTTTTGAGAAGTAGAAAAAGTAGCTTCTCCGCAAAAATAATTTTTTTGAAAGCATTTTTGAGAAAAATATACGTAGAAGTACTTTTGAAAACTTGGTCAAACACTAGTTGTTTCTCAAAAGTACTTTTTAAATTAATTACCCAATCACCAAAAGTACTTTTTGAAAAATATTTTTGAGAATAACACTTTTAAATATAAGCTGATTTTAGAGGTCTGACCAAATTGGTTATTAGTTTTTTTACAATAATTAGTACTACATTACCTCAAATTTTTTATTTACCCTTAAAGAGATTATTTATAACAACATGACTATTTATGAACTATTTTGGATCACAAATTTTAATTTTTTTTTTCAAACTCATACCTAGTCAAATTTTCAGAGAGAGGGAGTAGCTACTAGGAGGTTAACTGCCTCACTTATTATTGACAGTTACCCGAAAGTTAAAAAAAAAATGTATTTTTAGACGGCAAGTGTGTAGAAGTTAAATTCATAAAATGAGGATTCTTATCAGCCACTTGCATTCTCTATTCCTGAATTTTGGTATGCTTTGTTGGTGATAACGGTGCCGTCATTCGGCCATTATTTCCAACTTGGACATGTTTTCATCCCATACTAAACATAACTAAATATGAAATAACATCTCCGGCCCCCAATACAATTTTTTTGAGAGATTGATGTTAAAATAATTCCTTTTTTTTCTAATCAAGTTGCAAGTCACATACTATTGCTGATAGCTTCTTTTTTTTTTTTCAACAACATAAATATTGCTTATACCTCATTTCTTCTCAATACGGTTTGTTTGCAACTAATTTTCAACATATGAAAAATAAACTGCAATCACAAAATAAGGGAAAAATATTTTTACTAATCAATTGTGAGTACAATTCTGCTTCTTCCTTGATTCTTCTCTCTTGATTATCTCCGTGATTCGAGGGCTGAAGCAATGTATTTTTCGAATGTCGAATGATGCAGACCTCCTAGGGATGTATTTGATCTCCAACTTTTTGAACTACTTGATTGTCAAGATGTATCCGGCCATATTTTGATTTCTTTGTGAATATCCCAAGAAGTTTATGGGATTTTTGAGACGTTTCTTTAAGGGAATATATATCCCGTTTTATAGGTGTAAGTTAGGGTTTAGGATAAAGTAACCGCCAAGAAACCCTAATAGACTCCTAGGATTTCAAGAGTCCTGCAGTATCTTTAATTTAGGATTTGGCTTGATTTTTAAAATTTCGATATCTACACGGTTCTCTACAAATATTGTTTTACTTGTATTATTTGAAGTACATTTAGTTGTAAAATATGCAGTCACTGTCATATTTTGAAGATTATTTTTTCTTTTTGAGTACAAACTCGTTCCTGCCCCCAACCTCTAAAGTTATATTTTTAAAAAAAGCTTTTCCTCTACGAAAAATAATTGCTCATATGCATGTGACTTGGCATAATGTAGAGCCGTTATTTCCACTTTCGGTAATATCGTAACATGAATTCCCGTCAGGTATTTTTAACCATCAAACATTATTCTAATAGATTTCCCATTTGTATAATTGTAATGGATGCTATATGGTCAAGAGGTGATTGCATTATATTTATTATCGAACATAAAATTGTGAATCAACTTGACTTGTAACAGAAAGGAGTGAAAAGAATTCCTAAATGTGAACAAATTAAGCACGAATTTCGTACTTATAAATGGAACAAACAACCCAAAGATTTCGTAGAAAATTGACAAACTAATTAAAGAATATCTTAAATATAAAGGACCAATATTAATACCTGTATGTATGTATTATTTGTACATATAATTCTCCGCATATATAAAATTTTAAATTGACGAAACATATTGTTCGGCGTTGAGTTACTATGAAGTAGTTGCGGGAAGGAAATGAAAAAGAACCATCCATTACCAATCTAGCTACTAGCTAAGGCAATAAGTATTCAAAACAATTTCTTAAAGTATCCCTTTTAATTTCTAACTAATTTTATAAATAAAAACAAACTTTATGATTGTTTGAAAGAGAAAAGCAGTTATCTTAACAACTCATATAGCAGCAGTTTGACAATTTCTTCTTAAAATTAATTGAAAGTACTATAGTTGTCAATATCGCAGAATTTCTACACATATACAGATAATAAAAATTAAGAAGTACTACAAATGATTGAGGGCGATTTTCCATCTGAACAGAATCAGCGTGACTTAGCGACTGAGAGTTATAGGATTAACAACATTTATTATTATTATTATTAAGGAAAAGAGTTTAAGGTTACCCAAATGATAACTAAAGGTAAGTCTTCGTAAAATATTTATAATATTAAAAATAATATAGATTAACGGGTAAAGGTGATCTGAGAGTAAAATTCCTTATATAACGCAGTGTATATAACTTAAACTAAAGAAAAATAAAATTGAAAGAATATCTTGATGTGGACAAAGTCGACTTCATCTCCGTACAAATAAATAAATTAGCGTAAACAACCCCACCGATTTTATAAATTATTGCCAGTATGTTAGTAGGTCGTTAACGACGTTGTAAAGTAGGTATATTACATTTAATTAATCAAATGTATCTTTCTTCACACCGCTTTTCCACAGGCAAATTAAAAAAAGGCCAAAAAGGAAAATCCAGCCATGCATGCAGAAGCAGTCTTGAGTATTGCTACCTATCTGTTTCCCCAGAACTGGAGACTAAAGAGCTAGAGGAACCGGAGATTATTGGTGGCAACTAGTGGGGGCAAAATGGTTAAAAGAAAATAGTTATCCACCCATATACATTAAAAAAAGGGTTGGATAATAATTTTTTTAAAAACGGGTCAAATATAGATGAGAACTATATTATCCACTTAGAAAATGGATAACTAATGAGTTTAACTTTTACATGTAAAACCTCAAATATGGGGTTCCTTTAAGTTTGGGAGACTAGGAATTCTCCCAAAAGTGATCATATTCATGAAGCCATGGATAATATATATGGATATTCATATTATCCGACGGCTAACCCGTATTTTATCCATATTAAATATGGACATGGGTCGGATAGTTATCCGTTTTTGCACTACCCATTTTCGACCCGTCCATATCCGATACGATCCAACCCGACCCGACCCGACCCGACCGTTTGCCACCCCTTATGGCAACACATTTATTGCTAAGAAACGCATCCTTTATCCATCTTTTCAACCAAGTATTCTAGCGTCAAAGTTATTTAATATGATACGTGAATCAACTTGCACATATCTCGATTAATTTAGTGCACCAATTACTAATGTCACTTTTTTACTAGCCCCCTTGGTTGCATATATATAGGAAAAGGAAGGGTTAATCTAGAAGTATATTATTGAAATGAAGATGAATGGTAAGAGATTTGGAAAAAAGGAGGATTGCGACACAATTCACATGTTGGTATATATTTGTGCTGAATTTTTATGAGAAAATACAAAGAAAGTCGTCTACGAGTGTTCGTACATGCATGGCAGTGTAAAATATGGAGTAATAATTCAGAACAACAAGCGTGTATATTTACTTTTAGGCAAACGTCACTCATTAGTTTCCTCTCCCTTCTCTTTTCTCTTTCATTTTTTGATATATTTCTGAGCATAGAGTTTTTAAAATAATTTATCCGTTGGATCAATCTAATTAATAGTACAGTACTTCTTAACTTTGAAGATAAACTTGCATTTCAACAAGGCTCAGATGAAAAAAAGAGAATACAATAAAATCAACAATGTTATTAAAGGGTCAAAATATTTTTCAAAATTGTGAAAAAAACCATATACATTGCCCGTCTAGTGCAATAACAGCACACCAAATAATGATCCTAGAACACACAATATGCTACATTGTGCTAGAGAATTTGACTAAAAATATTGGAAGAATGTATATAGGCATGCAGGTACTCAGTGTGGATTTAATTAAGAAGGTATGAATTCAGCTGATGAACTCATAATTCTTTTACATAAAATTTAGACGTATAAGTGAAAAAACCACTAAATTACAATAAATATTTAATTCTGAACTCATAATTTTTAAAAAAGTACAATGAGTTCAGCAATAAGAACATCAAGCCACTCTTGAAGCCGCCAGCATGTACAGCTAACAAAATAATATTCTTCACTATTGACATTTACTGATGAGATTCAAATGAGAAGTGATAGTGAGGAATGTATTTTCACTGCATGGGATAGTAAGACCACCCATTGGATGATTAAATCCATATTCATCCTCTGCTTTCCTCAACAATTCTTGAAATAAAGGATGTTCCAAATATGAAATTGGTACTACAAACCTCCTATGCTTCTTGTAATGGCTCTCTCCTACATATACTGCCACGTGTCCTTTGGGTATTATTTCTGCAGCCAACTCTTTTCTAGATCGGACAAGAACATTATTCTTAGCTTGTCGAATCATTGCCCTTATACCTATCCCCATCATCAACTTTTCTTAGAATCTTTCTTGAAAAAAAAAGAAAGAATATAGAATCAAGCTACTCGAGAAGATTAGCAGTCTAACCCTATTGGTTCTGACTTCCTCAAATTCTGGATCCGACTCTCAGCTTTGTTGATTCTCTTAAATTTCTTATTCTGCTGAAGGCTTATGAATCATTTTTCCTATGTCTCGAGAAGAGTGCTAAAATAAGAAGTTATAATTAAGTGTATTTTCAAGTGGAGAAAGAAGTGAAGGGAGAAGAACTTAAAGAAGCTATAGCAGCTTGTTTAATGTGTTTGAAATGATTGGTGAAAATGTCTATATATATATATATATATATATAGGGGTTGTGCTATTGGTTAATTTGTATGAATTGATTATTATGATATGGAAAGAACATGAGAACAGTGTGGGACCAAAGTACACCCTAACAAAGCACGACGGTGGATAGTTTTTTTCTTATTTTTCTTCCTTTTGCATTATTATAGCAGTGATCTCATTGCTTATCAGTTGGCTCCCCCAACTTGTTGCAGTATGAAAGATTGAATACTTTTTTCATAAATGTAATAATAATAGTAGTATAAGTTATATTTATTATATGGTGTGATAGCCCATAGATTGAATACCGCGTACCGCTCTGTAGATTCCCAGCTATTTTTTAGCTGCTGCTAATACAATAAAATACTTTTGATATGTTTTGAGTCTTGAGATTGTTATTTTTCTTTATTTATGCTCCGTGACGGTATAAAGTATCACTTTAGTTTAACTGTTTTATTTTAACTTTCGCTTTAGTTCTTTTTACGCTCATTGAAAAAAATATAAGGTATAATTTACAAAGTTTCTCCTATTAAATGCTTTTTGAGAATGAACGATATTAAAAAAATACTATTTTTTTTAATATTAAAGATGTAGTTGGAAATAAATAATAATTTTAGTCTTGAAATATTACTGAAGCAACGATTATTTTGTGAATTTTTTTGAGTTAAAAGCTCAATTAAAATGGGAAGGAGGGAGTTCCCTTCGTTTCAATTTATATGATTTAGTTTGACTTGGTACAAAGTTTAAGAAAAGAAAGAAGACTTTTGAAATATATGATCCTAAAATCTTAAGGGGCAAAAGTTTTGTGGGGTCATGACATTTTTGTGATTATAAATGCTTATTATTAAGGGTAAAGAAGGTAAAATGAAAAGTTTAAAGTAATATTATTTTCAAATATAAAAATATGTCATTTTTTTAACAGATTAATAAGAAAAGTCTATCATTTAAATCGAAACAGATGGAGTAATAATCGACTAGATCTTCCAGAGTAATAACATGTTATAACAAATGAAAATTTTGGGTTGTTTTACTCTATTTCAAACATTAGACTTTTTAACCATTTTTGCTCGTGCTAGTGCCCCAGAAATTAATTACACTAACTAATTGTGCAAAGAATTTTACATTATTGATGTATATAATTAACTTAAGTTTGAGTCATGAAATTATTAGTATAATTAAGATGAAGTCCATGCATTAAATGAGGCGAGTAAGAACGGCCTGCATATTGTTGAGTCGTAGTACTTGACATGTAAGGCCTAAATTCTCCTTTAAAAAAAATTTGGCCTAATTTAATTATTTAATAAAATTCTGTTGCACCTAAATTCTTGGTATATCCTGCGCAATGATCACTTGCTAGCTGTTACCATTAAGATCGAGTGCCATATAATTAAGCACAATTACGTCGCCATTTCGTGATTAATTTCTTTTAAGTGTTAGTTTCTTGAATGATTAATGTTGAATTCTATATTTGTTCCCACCTTGCTCTCTCAATTTTGGCACTTCAACAAGAGTTAAGATCTAGTCAACAGAATATACCATTTTGTGATTAGTTTTTCAATAGAACCATATACTGACTTCTTTTTATTCGTCCTCGAATGTTGACTGAAGCACTTATTTGTCTCATAACCGGATAGCTCTTACAAATGTTCCAAAGGGGGGAATGATATTATACCCCATGTTTTTGTACGTGGAAGTACGCCATAAGTAGATTGATAAAATCTCGGAAATGAGATGTTACATCCCACATTTTCGTACGTTAAAGTTTCGTCGTACGTTAATCGATGTAAATTCGGGAATGAGATTATTTTGATGTTATAAGTATTATTCTAGTTCAAATAAGTGATAAGTAAATTCGTGAAGGTGATTGATAGTAGGCTATAATTATACAATTTAGATACTATTTACACGCTAATTTAGCCGCACTTTATCAATGTTTAAATGTTAAAAGATAACAAAATACTCTAGTTAAGAGTTTTATGTTTTGCAGGAGCCACTCCGAGCTATGAGGAAGCTAAAGAGTGTTTTGGAGTCAATATGGAGCGTGGAAGGCCAATCGAAGGTTAACACGGTCGAAAAGGAGAAAGAAAAGCAAGTGGCGAAGTCCCCTCCAGGTGCACGGCCGCGGATTGACTGCGCATTGGCCACACACTGAGGTAGAACACTAGGCGAAATCCGTGGCCGCAGACGAGCTCCTGGAAGCCAATAACCCAGGGTTAATTATATAATTTCTAAGGCGACTAACCTAAACCTATATGAAGCCTAATTCGCCCAGAAGAGAGACATAGCTATTTTCAGAGAAATTTTGGTGGCAGGAACATGGGAGGAAGACAAAGAATTTCCTTAAGAATTTTCATCTTCTTCTTCTTAATTCCATTGTTGATTATTACTTTCTATAGTGTATTTTTATCTATTAGTACGAGTAGCTAAACCCGTTATCTAGGGTTGATGGAACTAATTGTTGGATGAAGTCTTGACTCTGTTTTGATATAGTTGAGGCGTTTTTACTCTATGATTGTTCAACTACGTGTTGTCTTGTGATTAATTGAAAGGGCCCTTGATTAATCGTGTCTAGTTATCTTGTGTTGCTTGAGAAAGAACACTTGGTTAGATTGTTGTTGAACAATACCACTTTCGGGTAGTTAAGTTAAGAGATTAATTACTTGAATTTAAAAGTAGGGTTAGAGATAACGAAGCTTTGATGGGATAATTCTGAGTTGCATAAAATGTAAACTAGAGTAGTTCGATAGAATGCTTCTAGTAAATTATCGTAATTGATCGATTGATAATTGCGGTAGCCCAGAACTCATACTCCTTATAGAGTGTTATGGCGAAATTATAGCTAACGTTTCCGAAATTAATCCGACAATTAGGGAAATCAATAACCATAGACCATTTTACCATTGAATTCAACTCTATTCTTGATTATTGCTAGATTTATTGTCATATTTCCTTAGTTAACTAAATGCTACTCATTATTCATTAAAAATCTTGTATCCGGGAAAATGTATGAGCTTATCATTAGCAGTATTAAAGTTGTAGTAAATAGGTTAGTTCCCTGTGGGATTCGATCGGACTTGAACCGGATTATGTTTGCAGCGACCGCTTAGTTCTTTTTACAAGGCATAGTTGGGCGTGATCAATGATAGGGTAAGCGAATCGAAGAAAATGAGTTTCGTCGAAGTTTGACAATTTGGAATAAAATACGGTCCGGGCTATAATATCTGGTATTTATAGACTAATACCATACAAGGTACCACATGACTATGATAGTAAGGTGTATAAAGTATGTTAAAAGTGAGTAGTATTTTAAGTAATTTGAGATAATTCTTGATTATGTGGATAATTGGATAATTAATAATTTTTAATGGAAGATTAGTTAATTAATTATAAAATTTTGGATAAGTTTAAACCCCCTTAATGTGGCAGCCCAAGAAAGTCTTAATCAAGACCCATGTAATGACTAAGGCTCATTACAATAGGTGGCCTAATTAGGGGCATTTACACAAGGTTAGTCATCCTAAGTGAGGCCCCCACCTAAAGGTTAAAGATAACCTCTTTAATTCATTAAAGAGAGGTATCATACTTATTTGCAATTTCAAACTATATGACTACTTAATGAAATAGCAAAGAGAGGTATCATACAAATAGAGATATCATACGAAGACTATTTAATACTATAACAACGTGAGATTTACGATTCTGAAGGAGTACAGTGCAATCTTTCTCAAGAATTCATACAGATTTTTCCCTTTTTTGATTGTCGTTACATGATTTGCCAAAATTGACGTGTGTTAGAGGGATTGTCAAGAGAATCAGCTCAAGTATTTTCAGGCTATACCTTCTTTCTTTTTGGCATGATCCATACGATACAAATGAAACGAGCAAATGCACAACTTTCATAAATGACTCTATTCATAGAAATACTAGAGATGACTATGTTCTTGATTCCCATATGTCTTATTATTCTATCGTATGTTCATGTATCTCAAAAAATACGTAAGTTGATAAAGTTTGTTTCATGATATTAATCAAAGGTAAAATGGTCTTATGACGTTTCAAGAGATTTTATTAACGTACTTCTCATGCATTGCATTCATTTATATATGTACATTGACCCATGACCAGATGACGTTATATACACGTATATATGTATATTATATGTATATGGGATATGGAAAAATGTTACAGTATTATATACACACTACTACCTGATCAGCTGGTATATGTTGATGAATTTGCCCACAGTGGCTGAGATGATATGATGAGACGCACTCAGGGGCTTGATGATGTTATGAACACCTATACCTATGCATGACACGACATTTTACATACGTGCATAACATTATTAATGTTTCAGGATTTACAAAGCTATTTAGACTTACATGTAAAAATCTTTATTCCATGTTTCATTTATGTCTTTTATGTACTGATTTTTCTGCCTTACATAGTTAGTACATTATTCGTACTGACGTCCCTTTTGCTTGGAGACGCTGCGCTTCATGCTCGCAGGTGCAGGTAGACAAGCAGACGGTCCCCCTTCTTAGGATCATTGATCAGCGAGAGTTGGTGCACTTTATTTGATCCGGAGTTGCTTTGAATTTTGTTATGATAGGTTTGTTTACATATATGGGTATGACGGGGCCCAATCCTATCCTTGTACAGTTGTATATTATGTTAGAGGTCTGTAGACACTCATGTATAATTGGGTAGTATGTGGCCTTGTAGGCTTCCAGTTTTGAATATGTAGTTGTCTATAGCAGCCTTGTTGGCTCTCCCTACGTATTTCGCACGTATATGTATATATGTCTTTTGGATAAGTTTTCCTCATGCATGTTATGCTTGTAATTCAGCAGAAGTTATTCATGTTCATACATTAGTCACATGCTTAAGGGTGTTCGACAAGTAGGACTCGGGCACCTGTTGCGGCCCATCAGTTTGGGTCGTGACAAAAGACTCCTACTATCATTTTAGCCAAATAAATTTGGTCCAAAACAATTATCCCTTTTAGAAACTATGAAAAAATTAATTATCTTTTCCAAATCTAATCAGTAATTCAATAAATGATCTATACAATTAGTATTAAATGATTTTGCTAATAGATGGGTATGCCAAAACCTTACTCCCTCCGGTCTACTTTACTTGATTTTTGGGCCTTTTTTTGTAGTCCGTAATATTTAATTTTTTCAAATATCAAAAAGAAATTATCTTCTTTTTTTTCCCCAAAGTTTTAGCCTTGGAGTAAAGAGCCTAGGAGTATATATTATATTTTTAATAAATAAATTAAGGTTAATATGATCAATTTTATTGTTAATTAATGCTAAATGTGGATTCCTTAATATGTACTCCCTCCGTTTCAATTTATGTGAACTTATTTCCTTTTTGGTCCGTTCCAAAAAGAATGACCCCTTTCTAAATTTGGAAACTATTTAGCTTAAGATTTCAATTCTACCACTAACGAGAAGCTTTTATAACCACACAAGTATTCTGGACCTTCTTTTGACTTGTTTAGGACCACAAATTTCAAAAGTCTTTATTTTTTCTTAAACTCCGCGTCCAGTCAAATAAGTTCACATAAATTGGAACGAAGGGAGTATGTAAATAGCCAAAAAATCAATTAAAGTGGACCGGATAAACCGTAAATAAAAAGGATAGAAGAAAGTAAACATATGTTTGAAAGAGTCTTAAAGTTTTTAAAACCATTTAAATTGGACGTAGTCTAATTTTACAAATCTTAAGCAAGCTTGACATGTGCCGCTTACATTAATTATTTCAGCCATTCCATCTTCAAATCCTAACTATTGATTTGCTAATCTTGGATTCTTGATATTTAAAAAGTCAAGTTTGACTAGGATCATTTAGCTCATTATTTGTCTATAATATTCTAGTACTTACACAAAATCAATAACCAATCGGTAAGCATAAATAGTCCAAAGACTTGAAAATGGAGTATTCTATAATATCTCATTCATGTGCGCCTAATCATATGAGATCTAAAAGTTTGACCCCCATCCTTCTTTAGCTGTATCTAAATATAATAAAATTCCAACTGATCTTCACTCAAAAAACTATCAAATCTTTTCCAGAAATTTGTCCGTAATCATTTGGAGATGCCATTACCAATTAGTTCAACTGCAAATAATTGCATTTCCCCCTATTCTTTTGGTTGTCAGTGCACCTAACCTAGCTAGTGATCTTTTCCCCCATCATTGTCCAGTTAAAATAAGTCAGAGTATAAAAGAAGGAAAAGGAAATTTAAGTTTACATATGAAAAGACTAATTAATTCATTACAAAAAAGAAAATAATTCTGAACTCTATTTTGAAGAGTGCATGTACAAATTACACTTAGGAAGATGTACAAGGGACAAACTTGACAGCAGTCCACATTACAAAATTGAAGTGAGGCTGACTTAGTCATCTCTCTCAACCAATAGTCTTGGATTCTGATAAGTTCTACGCGGCGCAAATCCAGATTAGTTACACCAGTGAATTCTGGATACCGAACGATTATACCAAAAAAAAAAATCACTAAACCTATGGGATGGAAAATCATGGTTGAATTACAATTCTTTCAAGTCTATGATGACTTGAGTAAAGAAATGAGACTAATGAAGTAATCTTCACTGCATGGAATAGTAATACCTCCCATGGGATGATTGTATCCGAACTCTTCTTCAGCCCAATGCAACAAATCTTGAAATAAAGGATGATTTAAGTAAGAAATTGGAACAACAAATCTCCTATATGTTTCACCAACATAAACTACGAAATGACCCTTTGGAACATCATTTGTAGTAGTTGAAATGCTTCCATTTTTGGGTGAAATTGTTCGTCTAAGCTTCTCTTTGGCATTAGCTATTCCAACAAAAGCTCTTCCCATATTTAAACACAAAGAATTTGTAAGATTTAGAACTAAATTGAAGCTTTAAAGTGTATTGAAAATGAAACTAACTTGTGTTTGAAATGGAAGCTGGAGAACTAGACTATATATACAGACACTTCAATCCTCAAATTGGTAATAAAGAAAATTATGTGTGAAGTTGGCAAACATATCAGGTGAAGAAATTGGCAAAAGATCACATGGTTTTGCCTAATTTATTTCAGGACATCATGTCCTACCACTTTAGGGGTACAAAAATAATAAGCATATTGCACTATTTAAAAATGTGATATGTTGATAAAGATACTCTTACTTCAACTTTTCAAATTTTAAATAAGATGATCATATAATTTTAATACGGTGTGAGCGATATATTCTGAATTTCACTATCCCTACTCCCTTCGTTTACTTTTATTTGTCTAGTATCTAAAAATAGATTTTCACTTTTACTTGTCACTTTTAGCATATCAAGATAAGACAAATTTTTTTTCCTGTTATACCCACAGTATTAATTATTCATTTGAAATTATTTTCTCAAATCCATTAAAAATATACATCAATTAATATGAGTATCATGACAAATTATACACTCTATTTATCATTTTTTAAGGGGTGTGCAAAATCCATAATTGATAAGTAAAAATGAACGAAAAAAGTATTATAAAAGAATTTACACATACTTAACTCATAAAAAAAGAATCAAGGTCGCACGTAAAGGAATATATTATATCCATATTTAAGCAAACACAAATATACTCTATCAAACTTAAGCATATCGATGAAATAGTTACACTGTGTGACTCATTTTTTGACAAATAATTTACTAACTGCACTACCAGTACGGTTGTTTATCACTTTATTGATATCGAAAGATGTTTCTCGATTATGTGAGGATAGCAAGTAGCTCTTTTTCCTATTATAGAGGCATTGAATCTAGACTTTGGCTTTGTTTAATAATGAATGAACTTTGCCAATTTACCAGCAAAAGTTAGTGGGGTCATTTGGATGATTAATTCTGATTCTTGAAACTAGTGCCTCAGCTTGCACTTTTTTCTCTAATTAAAGTCTGGTTCGTTTATCAAGAAATTTGCTTGGTTGCTATGTTCAAGACTCGAGTCATTTACATGGGCTCCGAGGTAAATGCATCAATGGTAATTACTCTCTCCGATCTAAAATAAGTGATTTTTTGGTTATTTTTACATATATTAAGAAATTCGCATTTTAATATTAATTAACAATAAAATTGACCGTATTAACCTTTATTATCTCTTCACATATATATTCCTAACAATTACTCCAACATTAATTACTCCAAGGGTAATGTAAGGAAAAAATAATTAATTCATTCTTGAAATCTGAAAAAATCATTGATTTTGGACCACAAGAAAAAAACCAAAAAATCACTTATTTTGGACCGGAGGGAGTATTTGTTTTCTTGGGGAAAAGAATTAAATTAAAATCGTGAAATATTTGTATCCAACAACCTGGTGTAATCATTTTTGGTTCCTAAACAGAATTTAATCTTATTATTTGTGAAATCCTGTTGATACATAACATAAAAATCAGAGCTATTACTTGTGTATCAACTCTAGTACTTTGAAGAATAGTTTTCATAAATGAGTTGCTCTTCATGTACAAATATATTATTTTTTTTTCAGCTCAATAAATGCTCAAGACGAGTGATGTTTGATGCACTTGGGACGTAGCCTTTGTTTCCTCTTCATTTCCATATTCTATATAGTTATATCACTATCATCAGCCATTTATGGCAAAACGTGTTATTAAAAGTCAAATCATTATCTATATTTGTTAAGTTAATTCAAATTATGTTGACAATTCTTCATACTAGTTGTTGCCTCATTTTGTAGGATTTTTATTTGATTTGTGTCTGCAGACTGCAAAACTAATTGTCAACATTGAGAGGCACAGTGCAAAGTAGTACTTAGCATTTATTGACTGTTTTATAATTCCATTAGTGGAACTTCAACAACTTTAATTAGAAATAAATATGAGTTGCCTAATGAAAAATCACCATTAATCCCTTTTTGAATTGGGATTAGTAATACAATGTACTGTACTTTTGCAACATTAATGGCCAAGCCAAAATAGTGCTTGATTCTGAATTTACTGACTATGGATCTTGAATTTGCTTATGCGCAATGACATATATAGAACGTAAAATTTATTTTGTGTCTAATACAACTGACACTAGTTATATGAGGCACCTTTTTTATCTCACAGTTTTGTGGATCCAGATTTTTGTGGGCCCAGAAGTGTAAGATTGTGGTCTACAAATTTGTGAGACAAAAAAGAGTATCACACAATTAATGTCAGTTGTGTGAGGCACACAATAAAACTACTCTATATATAACCGTTCCATCATTGGGGAATATAATGTACAGAATTTAAAGAGATGTCTTCATAGGTACTTGGTCTGTTAAATCATTAAACTTCTTAACATATGTTATCATGTTTAGACATCACTAAATGTCTATAATCACATCGTAAATCAAGATCGGACCCAGTTATCGTATCACTTATCCAATCCGAGTGAAAGGGAGCATTGGCATGCATAACTGGTAAAAGTGCTGTCTGGTCACAGGTTCGAGCCGTGAAAACAGCCTCTTGCAGAAATGTAGGGTAAGTTTGCATATAATAGATCCTTGTGGTCCAGCCCTTACCCGAACCCCGCGCATAGCGGAAGCTTAGTACACCGGACTGCTTATCCGATCCGAATTGTCATTGATCATTTGACAAGAGACTTCATCTTTTCATAGTGCAATTTAATCAAAAGGGGGTCCTTTGCTTTTGGTTGTGACTTATGAGAAGTAGTAGGACCTGCTGTTTTTATTCAACAAGTATATGGTCTAAGTACTTTGATAATTAATGAATTGGATATATAGCAAATCCATGTGAAGTTTCATGTGGTGTTGTCTCTCACCAGCTCCCACTGAATTCCTTCTCAGCACTAAACATCTGGATATGCACTAGGAATTAACACTTGCCTATGTATAGTACTCATGCACAGGAAGAGTTTGCCTGTATATACTTTATGCACAGAAAAGCCTCTAATATTTCAAAAACTTCCCTATTGTTAAGCAAATTTTCATAACTCTTGGTTCTTTAACTTGTGACATTGTTTTCATGACTTGTTAAGTCAAGTTGAAGAAGAGTTTGGTTTCGATCATCTAATGGGTAGCATCACAATTCCCTACGGTGAGGATGTTTTCATGAATCTGATGTCGCGCTTAAGTAGAACGGATGAGCATATTGTTTCATCATCAACTTTGTAAATCAGTTAAGGAAGTTTTGATTTCACTTAGTATTTTATTTATTTATTTATTTATTTTTAGCACTGTTGAGGATCTAGGAACAGTTATTGTCCCAGAATAGGAAGAATTTCATTGGGGTACGGTTTAACCCCTTTAAGGCCACAGTATATATATAGAAAAATGTATAGCAGGATTTAGGTGTACATTATTTCTCCATGTTAAACCTTGAGGAGTAATTATTTTTTTCATGTTAGCATATTAAATTCAGAACAAAAATCATTAACTGACACTTTGAAAAGTTCAGAGGATTCTTGATTAATTAAAACTTAATGACTGCTTCTTGCTACATCAGACTGAAGTTCCAATTGAAGTCCTGCAATGGACCTGTTGCTAGGTGTTATCTGACAGTTACAATATATATGGGGAAAAATCAAGATAGTGATGAATTTTTTGCTAAATAAATAAAACTGAATCAATTAGGCGGAAAACTGGAAAGAATGCAACATTTGGTCTTAGGTTCTAGGCCATACAAGCCATAATGCTGGCTTTCCATAAATACTTAAAATGTTAAGTTTGGTATAAGAATTTAAGTCTACTCATTATTCGATTTATGTAGTCTCTCTTGACAAACTTAAGGCAGCATATTATTCTTGTGCATTAGCAGCACTGCATTATCATAAACGCAGTCCCGACTAGACATAAGTTTCTACATTCTTCTCTTGCTTGTTTCCTAGAAGATGCATGCTGAGGTCTACCCATGCTCAGCCGTGGCACAGCACAAGTAAACATTGGTTGGTTTTGCTCTTCTTTGACCACAAATATTGCATGGCCTACGACTTGCACTACCGGTTATAAGGTTTCCAGTGGCGACATTCGGTGGCGACCTCCTTAGTCCCCACAAAAAGTGCCTATATGACACTTATTAAGTGGCGACCTACCTTAAATCAATTTTGTGGTGCATTTATTTACTTTTTATCGCAAGTTTAATCGCCACAAGAGCTAATTTGTTTTATTATTAGTTTTTGTGGCAACTAAGCTCGCCACAAAAAAGATTTAGGGTAGGTCGCTACTCAAAATATTTGATGACGTGTAGTTCGCCGCTGAAGCTATTACTTATTGTCGACTCAACTCTTACTTTTGTTAGCGACTAAAGAGGCCGCCACATAACTTTTAGGTCGCTACTCAAAACAACGACATATTGTCTCGCCACTGAAACTATCTTTTATTATGGTAACTAGGCACTTACTTGTGGTGGCGACTAAAGAGATTGCCACAGAACATCGTCGCTAAACCTTGTTTCCTGCACTGTTTCTTATTGATTAATGAATATGGAGAAGTATTCTAGTTTTATCCAATTCTCTATTATTTCCAATAGAAATGGTCTAGCTTTATCCGATTCTCTATTATTTCCAACAATAATCACCCTAATTTAACCATTTTATAAATACTTAATTAACTCAGCACTAGTTGGAAGCATAAGACTAGTTTTGGTCAAAAGAACCAACATGTATTTTGAGTCATCGCTTTAGCACTATATATGATAAGATTTTGTCTAAATTTCTCAGGATATATATGCCATCCTAGATTCGAAATTTCATGAATGATGATCAGTCATTGGAATGCTGACTACAACTTGTTGATTTAACATGAATAAATGGATCCATGTGGTCCCTAACTAAGCCCCTGTTTGGCCATACATTTTGGCAAGTTTTTTTCAAAATTTTTTTGAAAACATTGTTTGTCCATAGATTAGTGATCTGTTTTTGAAAAATTTCTGAAAATATTTTTCAAGTTTCCAAAATCTAGTTTATGGTAGATTTTGGGT